CAGTCTGCGTGTCAGTCCATACTCCACTCAGTGTGACTCCAGTCAGTCTGCGTGTCAGTCCATACTCCACTCAGTGTGACTCCAGTCAGTCTGCGTGTCAGTCCATACTCGACTGTCATGTTAGTTAACACAGTCAGTGTGTTGGTTAATGTGACAGTCTGTCGGTGTGTCAGTGTGTTAATATGACATTCAATTAGTTTGTCAGTCATTACGTCATCAGGCAGTGTGTCACACTCACACTGTTTCTTGTGGATGCCATCCTCATCCTCACCATCATCTTCATCATCATGAAGCAATGGAGGACTGTTGAGGGGCTCATCCTATACTGGCAGCACATTTAAAACCCAGCAAACACCATCACAGCTGATGAATGTGACTCATTGTCATTTCGTAATTAGTGTAATTAAGGTCTGGGGTTTAATTCTGTTTTTGTTGTTTTGTTTATGTTTCCCTCCAGGCCAAATAATTAACACTTTCACTCCTACCACTCGCTGTATCAGGATTGAGGGTGTCAGTCAGTGTGTTATGGTGCCAGTCAGGGTGTCAGTCAGTGTGCTGGTGTGTCAGTCAGTGTGTTATGGTGCCAGTCAGGGTGTCAGTCAGTGTGCTGGTGTGTCAATCAGTGTGTTATGGTGCCAGTCAGGGAGTCAGTGTGTCAGTGCATAAACCAGCAGCCATATCACTCTGCAACCCACAACTGGCAGCCCACTGGAGCCCAGCACTGTGAGCCTGGCCAGTACCTGGAGGGGAGACTCCTGGAAAAGCTGAGGTTGTTGTTGGAAGAGGTGTTAGTGGGACCAGCAGGGGCGCTCACCCTGCGGTCCATGTGGGTCTTAATGCCCCAGTATAGTGACAGGGACACTATACTGTAAACAGGCGCCATCCTTCGGATGAGATGTAAAACCGAGGTCCTGACTCTCTGTGGTCATTAAAAATCCCAGGGCATTTCTTGAAAAGAGTAGGGGTGTAACCCTGGCGTCCTGGCCAAATTACCCATTGGCCCTTACCAATCATGGCCTCCCAATAATCCCCCTCTCTGAACTGGCTCCATCACTCTGCTCTCCTCCCCACTGAGAGCTGGTGTGTGGGGAGAG